AATCCGAAATACAATATTGGTTACTGATGTATTGATGAGAGTTTCAGAGCTCATATTTAAGTCCATATTTTTTGTAGCCTTGATGCCACAACAAATAAATATTAAAATATTAAAAAAGAAAATGTTAAATCTATGCATCTGTAACAAGTAGTGTTCCATAAACTATATGTTACTGATATTTGATACCTGACCATATTCATGGTGGTACAGGCACGTTTTTTGTGAGGATGATACACGCTTTATTCAGTTCTCAATAAGAACACAGGAAGAGAACATGCTTTGTGGAGAATATACTGATTCTGTAAGATAGAAGATAAAAGAGAAGAAAAACTTGTGCAGAGAGTAAAAAGTAGCTTAGAAAACAATCTTAGTCTGTATACATGGAAGATGTGTGGTGTATTTGCTATATGTTGCATTATATTTGCAACTAAACTTCAACACTAATCACTACATTCTGGGTGTCAAATTCCCACTTGGAACTTAAAAGGAACTTCAATAATTTTCACTTCCCGCCTTTAACAGCTCTATGTTCTTGCTCAACTTACGTGTTTCACTCTAGATGCAGTTTCACTGTATTTGTTAATTAAAATGATCAGTTTGGATAATGGATGTTTTTGGTGTATCTTTTTTGATAGAAGAGCAAACAGAGTCATTCCAGTCTTTTAAATTAAATGGTTTTGTTCATGGAGCAGGTTTAGGGTAGATAGGTCTTCATGAAGAAACAGGTATTTCTTGTGTTCCCTGTGGTGTATAATGTACAGGATTTATACCGTATACATTGTTGTATTGAAATACTGCCTAAAAATGTTTTCTGGCTTATCTATGAACCAAATGGAAGAAGAATTAAATTCTCTGGAATAGGGGTTTTTTTGTGAGTACAGCTGCAGTGAAAATACGCATTTTTTTATATAAGAAAGCTGAAATGTGCTTGTCAGAAGTCTGAGTAAAGAACAGTTTATATGAAGTTCAAATCTGACATTTGTTCTGATTTCTTCTCTGAACTCGCACAGATACGTAGTATGCACTTTAAATAGCTACCTGCTGTCTGATGTTGGGCAACATCTGGCAGTTGAGAATGGTGGTTAATTAAATGCAGTTAACCTGACGGGCACAGTTTGTTTGTGCAATTAGTTGAAATTTAGAGCTGGAATCGTCATTCAGTGTCTTTGGTTTGTGGGTTGGTTATTTTTTGTTTTGTTTCTGTTTTATAATCCCAGAGCCCTCCAGACAGCTTTATGCAACTGAGGCTTTCAATTTATTTCATTTATTACAAGCTTCTCAAGTAATAGATAAAGAAATTAAATAATTATCAGATCTTATCTAAAACTAAAGCCTGGAAAGATATTTTGTGTGTGTGTGTGCATTAAGTATGTATTAACTTAAAAGTAAACTGGCTTTTCAACATTTTTTTTGTATAGGAGGAAGAAATTCCTTACCCATCATGAATCACTGTTAACCAGAATTGTTTGGGGTGGTTTGGTTTGGTTTTTTTTTTTTTTCTTTTTTTGTAAAATGTGTTGAGATCTTCAAGTGAAAATTAATATATGCATGCAAAATGTTACTGCACAAAAGTTAATTTGGAATAAATTTTGACTACCATCTATTGCTTCTTATTTTCGCCACAACACTGTTCCCAGTAAATTTTGAATTTTTGCCCTTTCTTAATAGCTTGAAACCAGAATGATTAGTAATAACTGCATGAGCATCTCTGGGCAAGTATGTGGCTATACATATACGTGTGTTTTTAAGGATGACTGCTGTCAGTTACATCTCAAGATCTAACCCCTATGCAAAATGAGCATCAGAAGTTAGCTGGAATTTTGTGTGATGTCACACGTTAGGGTGTTCCCCCACCATTACCTGCATGGGGGAGAAGTGAATTTGGTTCCATGGGAAGGAAAAACAAATAGACAATTCCCTTTTCTGTTAATCCCAATTGCGTGTTGAATATTAAAGCAAACCAGAAAGCTAGGATGATTGTGGTGAAATTTAATGTCCTTAATTTGTGAATGACAGACTCTGAGAGCCAGAGAAGGATGTCAGAATTGAGCTCCAATGAAGCAGTAATGCCATAAAAGGAATTCAGAAAGACTGAAAATAAAATCATAAATGGTATATATTACTGGAGTCACCCCAAGAAGAAGTAACTATGGAGAAAATGTTCTAAGATGTGGAGGATTTCCTAATGTTCCTACTGCTGGTATCCTATTGAATTGAGATGTTTTTTCATGCTTAAATAGCTTATAGATGGTGAGATTGGTTCAATCTGCAAGTCTTCTAACTTTTCTGAGCTCAAAAGCAGTTTGGCCTGCAGAGGGAAAGACACCTGTTAAAATACAGCTTTTTTCCAGCCTCCTGGTATTCCTTGAACCGGTGTCTTTGGGGCCACATCACAGCCCACTCACAAAATATTCATATTGTAACTCTGCGTGTGCACCACTGTCATTCATTGCCTCACACCAATGATAAAAGTGATGGAATTTGTCAGTCTGATGCAAGACAACATCTTAGAATTGAGGAGCACTGACGTTGACTGCTCAGTTAGTGCCCCACTTCCTCGTTAGTGTCCCAGGTTAGGAAGATTAGTTACTATAATCTTAGATTATTACAGTGTTGTACAGGAAGCAGTTCTCTGAGGAAAAAAAAGCTGTATCTTTTGCATAAAAGCAGCTATAAAGATATCTAGAATGCAACCCCAAGCTCCCCTCAACTTGTTTTAGTTCAAGGATAGTTTTATGCAGGCAGCTAGGCAATGATAGATTTACACAGTAAATCATCTTGGGGAGGCAGATTGAGTCTCACAATTAGATGGCTTTCAGCCCCAAATGGATGTGATAAGGGAGTGTGGGTTGTGTCTTCCCCTTCTGGTTGCAGAATTAGTGGATCTGGCTTGTTAAATGCTTATTTAAGGAAGATGGGAAGACTGGACTAGATGATTATAAATCAACTACGCCATCCTAAGTTGTTTTGGGAGTTCATGCACCTAAAGGGCAAAATTTAGTTACTTTGATACAGTGGCTAGAATAGTTTGCTTTAACAAAAGTAATAATATAAAAGAATGAGAAGTCCTAACTCTACAGTATAGCTTCTCTTTGCTCTTACATTACAAATCAGGTCATTAGGCTAGAAAGATACTTTAAGTTCAGTTCTGATTAGTAACATCTCGAGCTGCGTAGTTTATAGGCCACCGCAAGAGGAACTGTTACTCAGTGTCCTTGTTTGAACAAACATTGCAAAGTTTGATTCTAGATGCAGCTGTAAATATTTTATTTAAGTGCAGATGTCTGTGCAGCCTGCATCATTTATCTACGTCAGATAATGAAAAATACATTTATGTGTTAAGATACATCTCCCTTTTTTTTTTTTTTCTGGAATTCCAGCAGTTATTTCTGATCTGTGGTTTGTGTGTTGTTGATTTGTACTTCCATTTTTTTCTGCACTGTGTGTTTTACAGTTGTTTGCTCCAGCTGTTTTCATTATGACTGGAAAGAAGCATGTGTATTTGTAGGTGCGACCTGAAAGTTGATTAGTTATTACTTTGTTATATTATCCTTTTAGCTTTATGCTTTAACAGAAAGTCTAATGCTTTAGTTGAGTCACACTAAAAACTTAGTTTTCCAATAAAGTTACTCTTATATCCATGCATTTTAATTTGACAATTGTGTCTTTTGCTTTGCAGTAATTCTAACATGATTGGTAATTGTTTTTTACAATTTAAGTCATTGAAGACTTTATTAATTACGTAAAATGCATACACTTTCATTTCATTAATGTGGTAGGTTAAGAATTATATTTAACCGTGAAACTTCCTAAATGTGGCAGGTGGCACGCAGATGAGCAATGCAGATACAGTCTACAAATGACAAGTTCCTTGAGCGGTAACTTGAGACTCAGTAAGTGGAAACTGGTCAGTTGTAGGTTATATGGGATGATCTTTATTTAGGCAGGAAGAGAAGAGGAGACATTGAATTATCATGTTTTTTTCTGCTTTGTGCGATGAAACACTTTGGACTGAGCCTTACTGTTCCTGTGACAGCTACATAGTTCTGAGTCCCTGATGTTTGTATGATGCCCTTTTAATAAAATTACATGCTCTGCAATAGCCAGGCTCAAAAGCTGCTTGTGCTATAGGAATAACAGCAGGCACCAAACTACTCTGTACCTATACACGTAGATATGGAGTGACATGTCCCCAGTGGCAGAACGATTAGAATGTCAGATTGAGAAATCCTGCAGCTGACTGCTTTCTAGAAGATGTCTGTGGGTGTGTTAATAATATGGACTTTCTTAAACAGTGTTGTTTACTGCAGAAATAAAGTGTTGGGAGACAAGAGGTACAAAAACACAATTGAGAGGCTTAACAGTATGGATCTCCTCTAGCCTTTAAGCTGCATCTATCCTAAGTATTTTGCCCTTGCTCAGAGACAGCCTACATGCTTGCAGCTCCAGCCAGTCTCAGCTGCGGTCAGCCCTGTAGAATATTGATCACCTTTCAGTTTTATTTATCCATGTTCTACCCAGCCAATATCTTTTCAACTCTAGGGGACTAAACCTTGGCAAAAGTATGTTCTATTTACTTGGTAGTAGCATGGCTTTGACATTAATGCTTAGGTTCTCTGGGATGCTTTGAAGTTCCTTACCCTAGCTATCTTATCACATAGTCTTTGTATCAGTTGTTTCCTAGATCAGCTCTATCTCTGGTTTCTCCTAACTCTAGCACAAGAAGAGTTTGATATAAAATTGAACATGGAGGTTGAGTTGTAGATAGATAATTCATTTAAAGCATCTTCCAGTTTATCTCTAGGGGACAAACTTAGCACAGTAAGCAGTTCCATAACAGTGACAGAAAAAAAAAATAAATTACTGAATTCAAAGGATCAAGAACGTTGTCCCATCTGTGCGATTAAAAAAGAGGAGGATGTTCTAGGCAATGTACTCTATGACTGTTATACATAAACTCTGTAGTAAATAATGACAGTGTATGGGCTTTTCTTTTCCAGAACACCAGCTCAGTAACTGTGCCAGAAACACTGTTGTTTGTTTCAACTCTTGATGGAAGTTTGCATGCTGTCAGCAAGAGGACCGGAGCAATCAAGTGGACTTTAAAAGAAGGTGAGTAGGAGGTGTCCTGATGCCCTCTATTCAGGAACAGTAGTAACAGTCAAATCGATTGATAATTCAGACTCTTGTAGGGCCTGGTAAATATTTTTCTTTCTTATTTTTGCTCTTGCTCCAGAATTAAGTTACAGTGTTTCTGGAGTCATGTTCATCTTCATATTTTCACTTGCAGATGTTTTCCAGGTTTATGGGGTTTTTTTGCCAGACTCTTTAAGCTGTAGTGGTATAATTGGTAGATATCATGTTTTATGGGAATGAGCACAATATCAGTAAGCATAGAACAGAATACATGTCAAATGAGAGTTTCAGCTGTGGAACTGGTGGCAAAGGGTTTGCATGACTCTGTCTCTGGAATACCCTGCATTCACTGGTGAAGTGGATATCGTGCAAACCTCAGGTCTTTTTTCGTATAATAGATGTTTAGGAACAGCACAGTTTTTTAAATAAAAGAACTGCACTTGTGTAAAGAAATTTAGTATTGCTCAGTGACTGGAAGTGATTTTATAATTTTAATTACTGAGCAGAGATAGCTCTTTCTGTCTTCATGAAAAATTCAGTATTTAATACAAATCTGTTTTAGTGGGACTGATGACGTATGGTAGAAGTGATAGTAGCACTTTTTCTTCATTCTGGGAAATAAATTAGAAAGCAGGTCAAATGGAAAGGAGTCACAGTGATTGCATCATTCTGTCCTCTATTTTTAAATCTGATGTCAGTTTAGTAGGTGAGCTGAAATGGTAGGAAATGGATTGTGCGTAACTGATGTCTGCAGTATAATTATTTGTGAAGCCATTCCTATTTGAATACAAATCTACCAGACAAAAAGTTAACTTAATAAATAAGCAAAGAATGCTTTTGTAGGTCTTTTTGGACTAAAAAGGGGTGCGCAAGTGTTTTCATGAAGTATCTTGGCTAATAGGTATAATTACATTTTATCCTCTGTCTTCTCTTTAAATTTAGATCTCTCCTTTCCCTGAACAGTCTTGAACAAAAAAAAAGTTATCAGCCTCTTCCTTTATTGTTGCAATAGGCTACTGCAGTGTTAAGAGAAGCTTACTGGTTTTTGCTTGTCATTGACAGCTGACGTGAGCATACGCTACATAGTCCTGTCCTAGAAGGGTATTGTAATGGGCATTTGTTTGCAGCCAGTCTTAGTAAATGACAAGAGGTTTGTTGAGGAAGAAATGGAGGCACTTCAGTAATGAAGAGGATCTTGATCAGAGTGTATTGCTCAAGAAACTTCCCTTGTTTAAAAAATTGTTGCAAAACTATTGTTGGTACAATAGAACTGCCAGACTGGATAATCTAGTTTTATAGGACATTTTGCCCCTCTGTTGCTAACTCTGTACTATTTTGCATCTTATGTACATGAGGTATGTTCAGTTGCTTTTTGCAAAACATTTATTGCCTATTAGTTTATTTCTGTGTAATAGAACAACACACGAGTCAATGGAAAAAAAAAAATCAGTGGTAGTTATCATTGTTACCAGATGCTTTGTGAGTTAACTTAGTTAAGTGTACATAGAACAAGGGCCTGTACATATAAATTGGTGAATTAATTTGTAATTTGAGGGGTTTTATTTATTTTTGCAAAACTGTATTTGTTAGTGATCACCCTGTGGGTGGGAAGCCCAGCAAAAAATGCTACAGTGTTGGAAATTAATAGCCCATTAAAATCTTTACCATCTTGCTGTGCTAAATCCCTGGAGAGATTTAATAGTGCAGAATTCAGTATTAATATCAGTGTATTAACAGTTGTTGGGTGTACTCTCTCTGTCAACAATATGCTTGTATTGTTTTAGAGAATTACCCAGTGGGAAGTCGTATGCATTGCAAGCAGTGTTCTTGCAGGTGCCATTTTACCCTGATTACCAGACAATGAACCATGTGTTGTATTTCATGTGCTTTGAGAAGTTGTGGAGGTCACCTGAAGTGCTGCAGTGGCATTCATCAGGAAGAGAACATTTTATTACTGCACTTAAGCAGCAAGTTATTTAACAAAGGGCAATTCATATACATTTTATTTTCATTGGGGAAAAAAACAAGGCAGTGTTCATTATCAGGCAGTGTTTAAACAAACATGAAAATCTTGCCATGTGTGGTTTGTTTTAATTTAGCACTGAAGCTTATCTTAGGTATGCAAAGTAAATGAGCCAGTGGTTATCACCACAATAGCATGCTTGGGTTTCCTGCCTTCATGTAGTGCTGGCAAGCAAGGCAGTCTGAATACTTGTGCTCCCCATAAAGCAGGCAAGAAAATGGGTCAGTTATGACTCTCCAGTAGTTAAGAAATAAAGCTGAGTTCCCTGCAGTTATGTGTAGCAAGGTTGTGGACCTGTTTGTTGAGGGTGCTTAATGCCTTCATTTCCTGTTAGCTTCAATGGGTCCTACCATCTGACAGCTCTCATGATTTTTGAGTGGCCAGGTAACTGATGCTGCTCACTCCCTGGGGCTTTGGAAAGCTGGAATATGGTTGGAAAGTGTACAGAAAGAACCCACATTCTTCCTCCCCCCCAAATTTCTGAGAGGCACCTTTGCTCCTGCTGTGGCCCCACAAAAACACATTGTATGGAAAGGTACTTTTTGAAAGGTAGAGGGGCGCAGCACTTTAGGCTCGCTTTTACATGCAGGTAAGAAAGTAGACAGTGATAGAGATGGTGATGAGAAACCTGTTGGCAAGACAGAATCTGGAGAATGCTTTTCTTCTTAATGTTAGACTTTATATTCACAATTCTGATTTTAGTGTAAGCTTTAAGAATGTGATTTTAAGACTGTCCTGTTCCCTCACTTCTTTGTAAAAATCATCCTGTGCGTCATTGTTAACTCAAGAGCTTAGGTTAACGAGCAAAATATTGAGCTTTGAGATGTTAAGAATGTAATGTTTCAAACTGTAGTCTTGGGCAGTTTTTCTCTGTTCTTCTGACAGTCACTTCTGCATATGCTTCTGTACTGTTCAAAGCAATCTCTCTCTTTTCATTCACTACCTCCTTAAAAGCTTTTCCCCTAATAACTAATACAAAGCAATTTGCCAGAAGAACATATAATATATACAGATTTGGATCTAGATTTAGAGCCAGCAGAAATTTTGTTATGATCTTCATTTCTCTGTAGCAATCAAAAAAACTTTGGCCCATAATCAGTTTAAAAGGTTTTGATTTCTGACACCTTACTCATAACCTATGGACTTCAGTGGGCTAGTCGTGATAAGACAAAGATATAAAGACTGTCTATTAATGGTATGCAATATGTAGATTTTAAAGGGCAAATCTAAGATCTGTAGGTCCTGCTCTAATAACAGCAGTTGTAAATTAATAAGGGTTGTTAAAACAAAACAGTGGTAGAACTCCTTTCAGCAAATTCCAGAGATAGTTTGTTAGTATCTCTAACCTCATTTACTGTAATTGCAACAGCAGGCGAAGATGACATGATTTTAAATTGGCCCGTTAGCCCAAATCTTCTGGTAGGGCCTCAGGTCAGGAAACCGTTTTTTTCCAGCTCATTCCAGTGGGGCAGTGACTTACTCATTTGCTGTTTCAGAATCTCCCACTTCTCCTTTTCAGTCATTGGTTCTACCTAAGGGCACATTACAGTGATGAAAATGTGCAACTCTATCTTATGCATTAAAAGAGACTTGTTTTTTAGTCAAAGGGAAAATATCGTGTGTGTGAAATACAGAGAAAAGTCAAAAACATTATATTTAGAGTTATGGTTATACTTTCAAAAATGATATATATGGCTTTTTTCCATATATGTATGCAAAATACGGGTTAGGATTATTTCAGAATAATCTGAAACTTGTCTTACGCTTCTGCCCGCTCACAAGCAAATGATACGGGCAGAAATATTTTCTAACCATGATGCAACCAAAACCTAATTGGGACATCTGCCTGCTGCCAGGTCAAAATGTTAATTTCAGGGAAGTGTAACTGAGCCAAATAATTCAGTAAATTACTGGACAGTCATTGTGTTAACAGGTTTCTAATAACTGCTGTACTTGTGAATAAACAGAGTTCTAGAATGAATCTTTATTATCTAGGATCAATGTCCTTTTAATTCTTTTTTTTTTCCCAACAAAGTTATTTTACAAATCTTTTTATTAACTTGTAAAAATGAAAGCTTTTCATTTCTTACACAATGATTTTTTTTAAGTCCCACAATGACAAGGAGAGGTATCATCAGTCTTTTGAATGGTATTTCTATACTCCTGGTGCCCTGGAACTCCCTCTGCTTGTGGGCACTAATATGCTTTGCTGAACTAATTTCATGAAGAGTATCAGTAGCAATAATTTTACTAATAGTGTGTGCATGTGCTAGTTTACACACATGTGTGTATTACCAGATCAGAAAGCTAAAGCTAGTGTGTATTGAATTGTAGGATTTTAGTGTAGGAATCATTAACATATTCTGCCTTAGTGGAGGCTGCAGGAAAAACAAATTGGAAACCTATGGATGTGTCTATAGGAAACTCAATCTTCCATCTAGCACTGGAGATATTTACAGGATGGTGTCCTTCTTCCTAACTCATCCTCCCCCATATTCCATAGTTGTTTTGATTTCTTTGTTTTCTTGGTTAGAAAGTGGAAAGCTTTTTGACAGGGTGTCATACCAAAAGCTTTATGTAGAACATCACAAGAAGTTGGCTTTTCCTCTGCTACAGGGAATGGAAGCTTAAGGGAGAGGCAGATGTATTTTTATCACAGTTTTATCACGTCCTCTGTAAAGTTTTTGTTCCAATACAGAATATTTGCTGCTTTGTTCAGTGGTTATTATCACTGTTGCTGGTATTGGAACAGATCGGGCCTGTTAGAATGACTTACCTAATTACAGGGAACTGCAGTTCAGGGAAAATTTGAAAGCAGGATTACGTGATTCCAGCCTCAGCATGTCAACACTTGAGTGCTGAGCTGTTGAAGAGAAGATAAAGCCTCAGTTCTCTTGACTTTTGCAAGAACTTTTTCCGTTTGACCCGTTGTGGAGCAAAAGCTGATTTCAGTTATAAGACGATTCATTCTTTTACTAGCCTGTATTGAAGCATATGAAAACTATTGTAAGACCTGACAACAATAAATTAAACCCAAGATTATCTTTTTATCTCAGAGCAAGTTCTTAGTTCAAAGCAAACTTTGAAATAAATTTGGAATATGTCCCAAGCCACATGAAAGTGAATGTGAGGAGTTCATTGTCTGTCTTCAAAGTATCTTTGCATAGCTACAACCTTAGTTCAAGATCATGAAAGTGTTGAGAAAATTTACATTGCCCCAGTAGCTATAAATGTAGAGAAATGGCTCTCCACAGCCTGTCTTTCAAGGAGGATGGTGCTAGTAGTGAAAGAAGAATTCTTTTCACATCAGAAAATAAACTCCCATCAGTTTGTGTTCACACATTGTGAATAGCCTCATGCATGGAAATTAATCAGATATTGATAAGAAATGCTTTCCAGCAGTTCATATACAACACTTAAATGTTGCAGGAAGCCATCAGAATAATCAGTGCCAGTAAGTACTAAAAAAATTTCCTGCTGCTTTGTAACAACTTCTTAATCCTTTCCATCTATCTCTTTTTTTTTTTTTTTTTTTTTTTTTTTATCATTGTTAGTAAATCAAATTTCAGTTACTGAGAAAACAAGTAAAAGCAGGATTTTTTTCACTTCTGATGAAGGACTGTTGTTCTTGATATTGAAGATATGATACTAAAGAAAAGTTTAAGGACTTTCTCAGGAACATGATGCTTCTGTACAGCACACACTGAACAGCTTGGAACTTGTCATAAGGCTTTCATTCATGTCTTCTGATATGCAAGAGTCCTTCAGAAAAATGCACTATGTAAGTTGAAGAGACATTTATGGGATCTCTGGCATTGTATTAAAGTGTAGGATACATTTGTTGATGAAATTGTTCTGAGTGACATTTTCTAACAGCTTTCAGAAATACAAGCTTGTGTGTAAAAGCTTAATGCAAGTAAATATTGCATATATATATTTGTGTGTTCTTTTGCTAGGATGGTACTACGTGGTCAACAAATTCATGCAAAACTTCTCAGACCTTTGAGATAGTTGGAGAAGAGTGGAGCACTTTTTTTTTTAAAGTAGATTGACCAGTCTTAGAAAATTAAATGAAAACAAGTTATTAGTCCAAAAATGCTATACTGTATTATTATTATTCACTGTATTTTGGGGCCAGAGAGGGACGAGACTCTCCTGCAAATGTCATAGATAAACCAGGCTCTGTTGGTAGAAAACATAATCTGCCTTTTGAAATTTTCTGTAATTGTTCAGGTGTTCCTGAGCATTATTTGGAAAAAACCTGAAATGCTAAGATGTCTGTCCTGTTCTACTGTAGAGTGTTTGTTGGGTTATGTCAGTAACTGCAATTAGAAATTTTGGAACTTTGTTTAGATAGTACTGGTTTTATACTGTAATTTCATATAACAACTTCATACCTCCATTTAATTCGGTGAATAAGCAGTGCTTTCATTAAAATAAAATTTTAAAGTTTCTGAAGATAATTTGTACAAGAAACTATTTTTTTAGGCTTTGCCTAGGCTGACTAGAAAGTGATTTTTAAAAAATCTGCATTGCTATACTTGCACAATGTATATGCAGTCACTTCTCACTTCAAAAACAAGTTGTGAAGCTTTGTTATCTCTTGTGATCTCTTGAGGAGATGTTTCTAGATAGGACAAAGTCGCTCAAGCACTGTTGGTGAAGACTGCTGTTGTCTAGCAGTAGTCATCACCACAGGCGACAGTTTATTTTTTACCAAGTGAGACACTCTCTGTGTAGTCAGTTCTTTAAGAGATTTGCAACATTTATTTGGCTTTTGCTGTTAGCAATGCTTGTAGCAGTTGCATTAAATCTTACTTCAGCTGAGGCAGGTGCCATTTTCTGCTGATTTTTGATGCTGGTTTTTTCACAAAATGGTGAGAGTTTCCCTTCCCATGAAGCATTTATGATTATAAAACCTCTAGCCTGTGGTCTTTAATGTCTCTTTCTTCTTTTAGTTCATTTCACCTAGACTTCCGGATAGGCTGACTACATAAACTTGGTGTCTGTTTGCCTTTAGTAGTTCAACCTAGCAGTTCAACTCCAGAGTTGAACCACTTTATTAATGGTCAGCTAATGCTTTTTTCTTGCTTGCTTTTCTTTAGTAATGGAGAGATGATGTTGTAAGTCATCATGTGTTGCATTAGATATCGTAAAGCTTGTGGAATACTTGAAGCAAACACTGAGAAATAATTGGCATATAATCAACTGTAAGTTTGGAGCAGGAGGGTCCCTCCCAACATATCCTGAAACCAGTTTCTTCACGCAAGGGATGGAAATGAATTGCTGATGTAGTTAATGGAATAAAGGTCTGACTAAGCAGCATGGTCTGTAGAGACAGATACATAATGATGAATCACTTAGCTCCTTTGTTTGAATGTTAATTATTCTTAGGGTCTTTTGACATGTACTTGGGCTCTCAATAAATTAAATGGAGTTTATGATATAATGTGGAGCTCTACACTTGCTTAGCATTCCCTGAACAGTGGTAATGATCATAATTCATCATTAAGAGAAAAATTGCTCAAGATAGGAACTCTTGCTATCCATCTTCTATGACTGCATGCCAGTGCCTAAGACTGTTAAAAGTACCAATTAAATTATCTCGGCGTTTTTGCTGCCCCATGTATGAGGCTCCGTGTATAAGATAACACGACTAGGTTGTGTCTCTGCCCTCCAGTAGGTTTCTTCCCAGATCCAGCACAGAGCTCTGCAGGGTCCCTGCGTTAGAGGGAATTTGTTGTCATGTGGAGGGAGACTGACTGACACTGTTCATACCGACGCAGGAGATGCCAATGGAGTGGTAACTGTATGATGAGGGAAATAGGTAAAGAATGAAACTTGACAAGTGTGCTCGCTGAGCAGTGAGTTTGCTAGGTGTAGTATGAGTCAGTGCTTGAGTAGAGCACTGCTCCCTCTCCAGTTAATTGAGTTGTTCCCAGAAGCTTTTGAGTCGTTTGTTCTGACAGAATTGAGGATGTATCTGGAACAATTTTGAAGCTAAAAGAGAAAAAAACCCCATATATGTAGTTATGTTTTGAACAAAGCTGTTCTGAGAGTGTTTACTATTGTAAAAAGAAATTTATTAAAATAAAAATAGCTTTACTGTTATTCCTTATATTGTGCTTTCTTTCTGTCGCTGATACTATAGGTGCATCTTTTGGTGACTGCTGTTTTCAGCTGCACTGGTGTTAGAGATCTGTTTGGGTAGGGGTTTCTTAACGCTTTTTTTAATCTGTTGTATAAAAACAAAGGGTTATGCTCCTAGGCCATTACCATCAAACCCAGCAGTTTGTCTGCTGCAATATACTGCAGAGTGGTAGAGACTTTGTAAGAGCCATGTAACGAACCCTGAATTTCTTGTCCTTGTTTTGCTTAGCTCTGCAAATATCACAGTACACTCAAGCTGTCCCGAATCTGTGCCAGTTTCCCAATCAAAGGCTCTCAAAACGTCATTGTTTTCATTCTTACTTCCTTCCCCTAGCATCATGATGTTTGCATGGAGACAGAACAGGTGAAAAAACAGTATTTGTTTGCTTGGTCATCTTTCATCTTCTTACTGAAGCTTACTCTAGTGTAATGGTTTGATTTCCCCTGCGGAAGTGATGATACCTTGCATCCTCTTGACTTCTGAGTTACTTTCTGCCAATATACCCATATATAAGCACACACGTTTGTCTTGGAATTTGCAGAGTATGTCTTACAAATCTGGGAACTTTTGTGGTTTTGGCATCAGGATTGAAAATACCGTGATTCGGGATTTTTTGAGGCCTCAGGTAGTAATTTTACATTAAATTACACCTTACATTAAAATAAAATTATTGTTCTTAATTTACTTTTTAATATGTAAGGATTTTGTTCTAGCATTTGTCGGGTTTTATTTTGTAACTAAACTGTGATTCTGATCACTCAGAATACCAACTACTGTGAGGTTGTTTCCAAACCTTTTGATTTTTATGTACTGTGGATACTTGATAAATTTTAGTGGGGAGATTATTTAAGTGAAAAAAATTAGGTTTAAGGTAATTTTGTACAGCCCTTGGCAGATGTCTGTTTTTCTTTTCAGTGACATGCTGATAACAGAGGTTTTATCTTGTAGTAGGAAGTGGAACTAAGTTTTTTCTGACTGCATCGGAGTCTTGCTCTTAAGTCATTGGCAGTCTTCCCATTCATTTCAGTATGTGTAGCACTAGGCTTTCAGTATGGATGTTGCATTTTAAATTGAATGTTTTGGCTAGAAAGTATATGCTTACCTGTCTGATACAGGAAGTACCTGAGACACAAAGTAGCAAAAGTTCATAAAATACAGATTAAAAAATGTCAAGATATGTACTTTTGTATCACTGTTCTCACAGTGTCTGCAAACTTCCATTAGCTGTAGCTTGTTTTTTAAGTAAAAAATGGTTGTTGAAGCCTGCACAGTGAAAGCAGTTCCTGCAAGTTATGGTCAGCTGCCTCCTTGGCAGCCACTGTTGAGTGATCAGACACGTTTGTTGGAAGCAAGAGTTTTTATTAACATGTATACAGGCAATTCTAACAGACTCTATATGCTCTGTCTAAGTGAGAAATAAGGAAAAAACTCAAAATACAGTACAGTACTGCTATCTTCTCTTGAGTCTCTTCCCGGGGTAGCTGGGGAGTAATGTGGATAAAATTGAACAAAGAACTTCAGAAGGTTTAAAACTTTTCAGGTGCTTTGTACTTCCCCATTTTACAAACCTAATTTCATGACCAAACAGGAGATTGTTGAGGCTGCTGAGATGGCCCCTTTCAAACTTGGTGCGTCAGACTCTCAAAAAGGATGAAGTTATTGCAGGCCTGACTTTAATCCTGTACTTAGTGAGTTCAAGGAATTGAATTGTCAGTATTATGACTTTTTCTATTTATGCAGATCCTGTGCTCCAGGTGCCAATACATGTGGAAGAGTAAGTCTGTTTCATTTATCTCATCTACTGCTTGTTCGATTTTCCATCTTGAAATTTGGTTTAATTTGAAACAAAATTATCTGTGTAGAAAAGCTGCATACCTTGCGTAAGTCAATTTAAGGTGGTTTGGAGAGCAGATACAGAAAGGATATAATTAGCTACATATAATTTTCTTATTTGTAGTGCTAAGAAGAAATGTCCTGTCTGCAGACTGTTCTTGTAAGCCCTTGCTCAGGTTTAGAGATCAAGGGTGCCAACTGTGCTAGAATCTTAACTGAGGAGCTTTGAAAATGACAGAAATAGCTAGGGAGTGATCTCTGGGGTTTCTACTTCTCATTATCTTCAAATAAAAGACTAAAAATAGCGAAGCATAGGAAACTCCAGCCACCACCACTACCAGAATCTTCAAATGAAACCCTCAAGCTGTTACTTCAGAGTAGCTCCTCCAGCATAGCAATCTCACATTTAACTAGAAAATTTGGGGCTTCAACTTTATGTCTCTGAAGTCAGTGGTAACATCCTTTTTTTTTGTGGTTTGTTTTTGATGTTGGGGTTTGTTTCGTGTTTTTGTAGTTTGGGTGGGGGGTTGCCTTTACCTCTCAAATTGACTTAGTTCTGGCAACTCTTTTATTCTTCCTTGCCTTCATTAGGCTTTCTGGTTTTGTTTATTTGCTTTGCTTGGTATTAATTCTGTGACATTTTAAAAGTATATAGATCTTGTCTAAAAGCTTTCACCCAAGTGATTGCCTGCCACATTTGGATCTTTGAATTTTCAAATGTATTAGTAATCTTATGTTGTATCAGTTCTGAAACTTCTTTATATTTTTTCATTTTCATAGTTAATAAATGAGATTCAAAAAATGGATAATACAAAGTGTTCTTTATAATTTATAATTGCTATTTAAATCCTAGGCCAGCATTTCTTCCAGACCCAAATGATGGCAGTTTGTATACGCTTGGTGGCAAGAATAGTGAAGGCTTGACTGTAAGTATATTTTTTAAAATCTCTCCTCTGACAATTGTTAGGTAATTGCCCTAATCAGATTCACACAAAGGATAAGTCCCCAAGGGAACTTTCCTCAAGATTCCAACCTTTTTTTTTTCCTTTCTTTTTTCAGTTTTGTTGGTTGCATGGGTGTTTTGCGGGGGGGGGGGGTTTCTTTGGGTTTTTTAAAGTGCAAAAAGCTCTGTGCTGCCCTAGAGAGAGGTTCTTTGGACCAACCTTTAATTGCAAAGGAAAAATGGCAGCTAAAAGAGGGTGGGGGAAGGAGAGGACAATGCAGTGGGGTATTCATGGCAGTTCGGTCCCAGGCCACAGTGCAGCCTGACAGTACTGGAAAGTTTTGCAGGCTTTTGTACTGTTTAATGAAAGTGCACCAGTTTCTTGGAAAAACTCGATTATACTAGCCAAAACACAATGTTTGCTGCCTGTGCCAATGTTAGGATACAAGTTTTTGGAATGACAGTGCCCTGTGTTTTGCTGCTAGCACCTTTGCAAAGTCAAAACATACTTTATTTTGTTACAGTGGAAAGTTGCCACCTTTCTTATGGTCGTCAGGAAATAATTTCTGCTTGAAAATATCAACACCACAAATGTTTTGTCCACTTGTACTATTTTTCTGTAACTTGCTAAAATAATGATGATGATGACAAATAAAATGTATGTGGTATTATCCAAATACTGAATAATCTCTGTACAATTTGATGGGAAAGGTGTACCCAGAATAATACAAATCAGAGATGTCACTTTCACCCAAATACTTAATTTTCTAAAACCATCTGCCAAAAGGCAGGATTAATATGTTTTCTGTGCTGACACCTCTAGAAGATGTCTTTATAAGATTTAGTAAGCAGACAAAAATGCTGAACCATTTCAAAATAGTCACCAATCCATGTAGCCCAGATACTAGCTAACGTTTGACTTTTATTTTTAAACTTTGTGGTGATACTCAGATAAAATGTTTGGCTTCCCACAAGTTTCTTTTCTCTGGCAACTGCTATGATTTCCCTTAAGAACTTTAATATTGTTAAATATTTTAGTATTTACTCACCACTCCCCCTGCTCTGCAGCACAGCCAGATCATAGCTTGCAAAATGATTCTTGGTTCTTTTCCTGGGTGAATCCAGGAAGCAGCAATCTATTTGAATCTATTCCTTTATTCTGTTAATCGCCTCTCTTTTTGAATGAAAGTAATTTAATTTCTGTTTAGAATCACTATTATGAAAGTTTTAAGCAAGAGTGGAGTAATTTTAGCATATTTAAGTAAACTTAACAAAGGCCTGATCTTTATTGTTGCCCATTAGTCTTGTGACCTCATCCCAGTAAAAGTCTCTTAAAACTTAGTAAGGGTTGTCCCCCATTCTGTAAGTACAGTACAGGCTTGGCAGTATCTCAAGAATTCTTCATTTGGAGATTCGTGCTTCACCCTCTCAACAGTTTCATTTCTATGAAGATATCTGGCCTTTATAAATGTTACTGTACAGCCCTGCAGAGAACTGTTTTATACTTGTTATAGGTGAGATGATTAAACTGCTGTATGTTGAAACCCAGACAGTTTATAAGTGATGATGGTAGACCTTAAAACTGCAGAGTGTTGGTCTCCTGACCTCTCAGCTGCAAATAGTTCTTCCATCCTATGTGGATTTCTCCTGTTGTAAACTCACTGAGACAGGCTTCTCTCTGTTCTGGGTTTGTAGAGCAAGGCCTTCACCTGAAATTTTGAGTTCTCAAGCATTGCAATAATACAAACAAACAATAAAAAACTGCCATTTGAGATTTCTGAAGCTTTCTGACCACCCTTTTTTGTGAACAAATGTGAAGGTTATCACACCAATGTGAATAAGCTTTTATTGTTGGATTTTTTTCCTAGAAACTTCCATTTACTATCCCAGAGCTGGTGCAGGCATCTCCCTGTCGCAGTTCAGATGGGATCCTGTACATGGGTGAGCTCAAATTTAATCTCTTTTAGATTGTAAAATGTTCAGTGACTACAAGATGTAGAGACTCCCAGACAGACTGCATGAAAATATGCTTTATTTTGGGTATTAATTATGTTTTTTCATGAACATTTCTGATGACAGAAAATGTGATTAATATAAAATTCAACTACTGTTTGAAGATTAAAAAACAACTACTTTTCTTGAAGGGGAAAATGGCTTTTCTAAGCAGTGAATAGCCTGTGTGGGGTTTTTTGTCTTCTTGAGATGCTATGTCTCAATAAAATGTGACTTCTACTTAAAATCTTCTTATGCTTATAAATGTCATTGACTGCCTGACCATTATAATTAATAAGAAATCCCACTGCAACACAATTAGACATCCTCCATTATCTGAGATACAGTCAGTTCATTTATACTACAAATAATACGTTTATGGCTCAGTGTCCTGACTCATACTAATTGCAGGTGGATTTGGGAGGAGAAAGGGATAAGGAAGGACAGTTACTACTTATCACAGGAGTAAAAAGTGTGAAGGATCAAGATGAACTTAGTAGTGGTTTTTTTAATCGCCGATACCTGTTTCTGGTTCTCCACTTTGCATCTCTGCAGTAAAGGAGTGAAAAATCTTTATTTGAAGCTTCCAAGCACGACACATATGTGTTAGTGTCAAAGAAATATTTAAGGTCATGGCTCACATAGTCTTGAGTGCGATGTTAGGATCACGGTTAATCAATTTGAAATGTGTAGACCCTCACAACTTTTTCCACCTACTGTCCTTCAACATTAGAGCTTCAGTCTCCTCTTCTGCTAGCTCACAGGATCTTCTAGACTCTGAACTCTGTTAGGTATTATCAGTGTGAAAAAATAGTTCAGCCAATAGTACTTACCATTCTAAATATTGTATTTAGTTTTTCTTGTCAATATTTGGGATTGGCCAGTAGTGCTAAATGATAGAACTGAGCTTGACTATGAGAAATCGTTTTATTAAAAATGCTTTATTCATGCTAAGTTCATGAGCCTACAAAGAAAAAAGAAGACTGAAAAGCTTGATGGAAGTGCACTTTTCCAACTGAATGTTAATGTGGCTTAAATTATGATTTCAGGTAAAAAGCAGGACATTTGGTACGTGATTGACCTCATGACTGGGGAGAAACAGCAAACCTTGAGTTCCTCATTTGCAGAAAGTCTTTGCCCATCAGCATCCCTCCTGTATCTTGGGAGAACAGGTCATATGCTTTTTTTTTTCTGTAGCTTAGAAGAAAATTTGTTGTTTTCATTGTTTTTAAAGTTTAGGATGATAACAAATGACCTTGTGATCAGTTCTGGTTTTCAAGTGTATTTCTTAGAAAAACTTCAGTCTAAACTAAAATCATGATTTTAGACTGTACACAGAAAAATTATTAATTCCTCATAGCAGCAGAAAGATACTGTTTTTTTAAACTTTGACAGTAGGCATGTCCATTATTATTCTTGTTGACTAAGTGGCTTTTATATTCTGTTTAATAGTGCATTCCAGTAGCAGATGTGAACCCAAGTTTGCTCTGTAACTTACAGCTTTTATAAAAACTGAAGAAAATGGAGATAGAGCATATCCACTGAAATTACAAGTGTAGTATTCTAAATAACTGTTAAAATTAGACCAATACCATATAGGTGTTGACCAGTAAAAAAGAAGTAGTGTTATAGACTTGGTTTTTAACCTCTATATTATGTGTTCTTTAAGTGTGATAGTTCAGTTACAGAACACAGTATGCTGAATTTTAGAATGCAGGGTTTGGAAACTTGTAAGTAAAACAAAGTACATTAGAGAAGCTGTGCAGTAAAACCAAAATGCTGGTAATGTGGGCAGTAACTGTCTGCAGGGCTTGTTCTGATGTTCCTGTATATCGGTATTTGAGTGGATTGGGTATTACCTTTAACAGCTATGAAATGTTTATTTATCAGGAGTGTTGGGAAAATTAAATGCAGAGAGCAGTAAGTGGTGTGTGTGGTGTTTTGAAGAATGTCTCAGATTTGAGATGATTGATTCTATTCTCTCATAGGTTTTTTTGCTTCACAGACTGTATATTTTTTAACAGAGTACACGATCACAATGTATGACACCAAGAAGAAGGAGCTGCGATGGAACGCCACCTATTTTGATTATGCAGCTACTCTGCCTGATGAAGACATAAAATACAGTAAGAATTCACTTGCTGTCTTTTGTTGTTTGGTTGGTTGGGTTTTTTTCCCCCCACATACTGACCGTGGGTTTTGCATACAGGCAAAAATATTCTGATTTTTTTCTATAACTAATAGGTCACGCTGTCTGTCTGATTTTTGTGCAGTTGATATGCATCTGCTAGTTTTTATCCTTTACATGCCATAGTATCGAGAGCCTGTTAGGTAGCTTCAGGTAAATTGAATCTAAGAAGGTACAGCTCTTGAAGATATGGCTCTTCAAAATTTAGTGAAAAATTGCAGGAGAGGAAGCAAACCTAAACTATGGTGAACACTCAGAAAAAGCCATTGCATTGCAACTGAACTTTTATCAGCCGAATTCTGACAATTGATTCGCTGATCAGCTATTCTTTTGCAATGTAAGGTGTAATGGACTTGAACAGTTAATACCTATTCTTAAAATTGTGTGTCTGCAGCAATCCACATAATCTCCTATATATTTGTATGTTGCAGAAATGTCCCACTTCGTGTCTAATGGAGATGGACTGGTGGTGACCGTAGACAGTGAGTCTGGGGATGTACTGTGGATTCAGAATTACGCTTCTCCTGTGGTAGCTTTTTACATCTGGCAACGTGAAGGATTACGGAAGGTTATGCACACTAACGTGGGGATAGAAACTCTGAGATACTTGACGTTCATGTCTGGGGAGGTTGGACACATTACCAAGTGGAAATATCCTTTCCCAAAGGAAACAGAGACCAAGAGCAAACTGACGTGAGTATCAATACTCCTGTTGTTCTCACTGTCTATTTGACAGAGCTTTGTCATTAAAACCTTATTTATATAAATTCAGTTCAGGATTGTCCTACAAGTTTCAAGATGGTGAAAAGAATACATAAAAGCAGCTCTAGTTCTCCAGACATTATTTTATATCATATTTTAACTTCTACTGTCCAAACGCAGAGCCCAAAACAAAAAAAATCTATCATAAACTTAGGAAATATATACTCATGACTTTTATCAGATGTTCTGCATTGAAAAGTGTCTTATAATGTGGAATGGAATTTTTTTTTATAACGTGAAGCCTTTCACATTATAAAAAAGGTGTATAGCATTTTGGCAAATACCAGTTATTGAATAATGCAGAAATAGGACATGAGTTACGTCAAATGAGTAATTGCGATATGAGTAATCAACTAATAATGCTTTCATAATTAAAAAGCGTGGTTTCATAGTACAGCAGTACTTAAAACAATTTTACAGATCCAGGCTTTTCAAGATAAATACTGACGATTTGAGAAACTCATGCATTAGCTCTGCAGGATTGTGTTGCCAGGGTTTTGGCTAAGATGGTAAAACATTCATTTGTCTACTTCTTTCTAGTTTGTATGCATCGCCATCAATGGTGCATGAAGGAGTAACTGTTGTGGTAAGTTGGGAGCTGCAAGAGTTGAATGACAGCTGCTGAAAAGTGCCTTTACAGAATTAGTACTGTCCTGGGTTTAAAAAAAAGTTGAAATGGAAACATACATAAAAACACAGGAGGGGGGGGGGAAAAAAAAAAGACAGCTGTGCCGTTCTAAAGCAGCAAAGGGATCTGATTAAAATAGAAACCAAAATACTGAAGGCTGTACATCTACAGAAATTAGGTTTTAAATTGCAGATTACTATCAAGAAATGCATAGCAAATTAAATATTTCATGAAACAATTAACAATAAGCCTTAGAACACATGACCATATTTCAGGAATCATTTCAGATGCTACAAAGAAGTAACTGTAGCTCATCAGGAATTGTGCCAGGCAAGCTTAGCATAAGTGGACGAGAGATTGCTGTGCGGTATTGTTGGTGCATTGTGGTTAATAATAAAATTGCTGCTTTATTCATCACAGTAACTCCCCATAGATAGGAAACTGCATCATAGTTTTGTTTTGCTCACGCTGTGGGTGTCCAGGTAGGAAATAAAGGTCCTGTTTAACTTTTCTAAAAAAAGAGAGAGTAATCTTATCTCCTAGGCAACATGTAATTTAGCAGGTCTAATGTCCAAGGTTGTTGAAACAGTTCCTGAGGGCATAATGGCAGTATTTACTTATGGTGACCTCAATTTTTTTATTTAGTTGCCTATTTAAATATTACAGGGACACAGTGCTTCCTTAAATTGTAACAATAATCTCTCTTTCTAGCCCCGTGGCAGTGCCATACCCTTACTAGAGGGTCCAAAAACAGAAGGAGTCACAATTGAAGACAATGGCGAGTGTGTTATCACCCCCAGTACGGATGTAAAGTTTTCAGGCAGACTGAAAGAAAAGAACAAACTCAACTATTGGAACGACTGGCTGTTAATAGGTATCCAAGGTCCCTCGCTTGGCCCTGGCCTGCTGCTGGTGCAGGACCACATTGCCATCTAGCAGACGATTCCAGTCCAAACCTCAGAGCTGTTTTTCAGCTGCTGTAAATCCGACACAATGACTGCCTAAACTCAGGCAATAATTACTGAATTCTAGTAATCGTTTCTGATTTGTCTACATTTGCATATGAGTTAATGTCTTTAGGTATACAACTGCATGCTGTTTTTCCCAAGGCTCCTGCTCTATTCAGTGCATAGGATGAAGGGTGCTTAGCTCAATATGTGGAAAGTTGTTTATTGGGGTTTTGCCCCCTTCTATAGCAAGGAGTATAGATAATGTATTATTTACTGTAAATATTGTATTTTGGCTCCTTTGGATTTTTTTTATTGTGCATAATGTTACTTTAATTCTCATCATATGGATCAGACGGTCATGTTTTCCCCATTTTACAAATGGAGGATTAAGGCACAGAGGCTGAAGATAATATAAATAAAGTCTCAGCCCGTCCTGTGTGTCCCATATCCCAAAGTTTTGGAATTGACTTGTCAGGGCATTTACAATTTTACTTCAAAAATGAGGAACTGTTTGAAGTTCAGTTTTAAGTGATGCAAGCTTATAATGAAGTGGTATATGCCATTGGATCTCTGTGGCAGGGACGGGGTGTAACTTCCAGCTTCTTTAACTGCTGCCTCTTTCTTCCTGTGATCCCTGTCTTTGTTAATACCGTCCTGCTCTTGCAGTATGTCAAGCGGCTCCCTTTAAACAGTTCGTATTTCACTGCAGTCCTCCACGCTGAATGACCCGTGCCCTCAATCTTTTCCCTCACTTTACTTTCCTGCTCTATACAGGAGCAGGAGTCTTCCTCTGTCTACTCCAGTTGCAAAAGCTGGGATCACTGTAGCGTCTTCCTCTTCTTGCTTACTTGGATAGCACAAGCCAAAGGAGAGTGAAGAGCAATTGTAGCTGAGTGCTGGATCGTTCTTGCTTTGTTCTTGTGCAGCATGATCCATTCCCTTCAGAACCATTTCATATCTAGAACATGATCTTCACCTGAAGGCCACATCATAAAGCAAAACTACCTTGAGAGTGAGCCAGCTAGGAGGCATAATGCGTTTTCATCTAATGGTCAGGAACCAAATCCACAGGCAGTGCTTGAGCACAGAGTTCTTCAGGGTTGTGATCACTATCCCTGTGACTGCTTGGGAAGAAGAGAGGGAAAAATGTTTTAATTTGAGCTTTTGTTCTGTGATGTTCTCAAGGTTTTTGTAAATCAACTTCATATATGCTCTTCAGCAAAGATGCTGAAATCAAGGATATCTTTCCTAAAAAGGGACAACTTTTTATTTCAACAAATGTGTTTTATTTAAAGGGCACCATGAAACACCATTATCTGCCCCTACAAAGATCCTGGAGAAATTCCCAAGCAACTTACCTAAGAGGCCTGAAAACGTGATTCCAGCTGACTCTGATAAAGCCACTATTGAAGAGGTTTGTGACAAGAATAATCATCTTACTGGATGATTGAAGAATGTAAAGGAGTAGAAGTTGGGGAAGGACTCGGAAGAAAAGCTACATGGAATTATTTCAGATTTTTTGTGTCAGATTTTCATGTACTTAGCACATAGAATCACTGGTTTGATGATGCGTCACTCCTTATTTCAGAATTAGGGCTTTCAGCTGCTTTTTTCTTCCACATGCAAAACTTTCTTTGACTTTGGTAGGATTAGAAATTATTAAAAATTGTTTAGCAGAAAGGCTAGCGTATAAATGTTCCACTACCCATGAGGATATTGAGCTAACAGAGCTTTCTTTGCCTCTTAGGTTATTGACATCGTTGAAGGTTCCTCAACAGAAGTGCCTCCTTCTGTTCCAAAGGATATTGAGGAGAAGCCTGCTCGGCCTATCCCTCGGCCAGAGGCTCCTGTGGACTCCATGCTGAAAGACATGGCCACCATCATTCTCAGCACCTTCCTGCTTGTGGGCTGGGTGGCTTTTATCATCACTTATCCAATGGTAATGCTGACTTAGCTTGATGTGCTTTTGAATTTTGGGAGAGTCAGTAACATTTTACAGCCCAAGAAATGATACAGGAGTTAGAAAGTAACGCACTACAAGGTTTTTTTCCCCTACTCACAGACGTACAGAGGGTAGCAAAGGCTACAAATTTGACATAACAGTGATTTGTCTGGGCATATGTGCCAGCTCTGGAGATTTTTTTTTTTTCATCCTACCAATTCTGGTTTTTATATGTGGTACTCTTCCCACAGACATGATCTTAACACCATTGGCTTCACTCCTCTCTTCCTCACCTGAACCACTGTCAGGTTTTCCAGCTTTTGGATCAAAGCCTTTATCCTTCTGTGGTTTAAAGACACCTAGTCAACCTAGTAACAGTTAGCTTTTGCCATATTAACCAACCAGTGTGATTTCTCAGCTTTGCAATGGAAGTTCAGAATGAATTTGAAAGCGTGTGAGTGAAAGTTCCCCAGCCAACTTGGCTGATAGTGTCATAACAAGAGAGTTTTCCTCCCGCCTTTTGGATGTGGCTACCCCAATAGCTATAGAGTTCCCTTTTGTGACGTGCCTGTAAGAAACTTCACTCCACTTACGGAACTGAGGTCCTTTTTCACAGAGTGTACATCAGCAGCAACAGAGGCAGCATCAGCTGGAAGAGAAGATACAGCTCTTGCAGCAACAGAAGCTGCCCTTTCGTGCTCCCGGTGACCTAGCCCCAGAAGCAGATTTCTTGGACACCTCCTATGGACGGACAGAGAGCTCAGCCACCAGCACACCAAATATGTCCCCCAGAGCATCAAACCATTCTGCGTATTCCAACGTCTCCACATCTGATGTTGGGAGCTGCCTCTCCACGGAGCAAGAAGAGGGAGGTAAAGTTGATCCAGTGCCTTTTATTGTGAGTCTCTGTATTTCCCCAGTCTGTGTGGTGATACAGCACAACAATTAAAATACTTATTGATGATACTTTGTAGACCAGAAAGCTGAAAAGGACCATCATTCTCATTTAGTCTGACTGTTTGCAAAACACTGTGCAGGTGTGCCATGCCCTGACTTTGAGCAGGATTATTTGCTTTAGAAAAACATCCAGTTCGTAACTGCCATCTGAGGGATTATGTTGTCCGTGGCAGTATATTCTTATAACCTGTAGCCATTCTGGGGAAAGGTTTGTTTAAATAAAAATACTTATTATTGTTGCTATTATTATTATTAACTGGGGTCAAGAAATAAGGGTTATGCAGCGCGGCCTGCCTTCCTGTGCACTCTTTTGTCCCTTCGAAGGCTATTCAGGGGAACTGCTAGTAAACTTACTTCCACAACTGTCAGTCAGTATTTCCTAAATTCAATAAGGCATCTCTAAAACTTTTTAGAAATAGAAAAAGTGCTGAGAACCACTAGTCTCTTACACTGTCTTGAAATTGAACTCTCCAGACCTTAGGGCAGGTGTTGTGTACAGAATGTGTTAGACTCGGTATGTTGGATTATTTGGTCACCAGAGAGCATTTGCCTACTCAGCGTGAGTACCAAAATGCAGATATTTTGAAATGCAGATTTGTTTTGATCATCTGTGCTGTTAATTTAAACATGAGCAAAAAGACTTCTATATACTGACCCAGAAGGATGTGCAGTTGTAAAAGGCTGATATGACCCATCCTAAACCAGTCCTTGTTTCTTGTTTTTTATTCAGATGAAGATGCAAACAGAGTGATGGTTGGCAAGATTTCCTTTAACCCAAAAGATGTGCTGGGACACGGAGCTGAAGGGACAATTGTTTACAGGTAGAAGACATGCGCATTCAGCATTAAATAAACCAATGAATGTCTTGTTTGCATTAGGTCTTTTTAAAAAAAACCCAAACCTCACGTATCTAATATGAACAGAAATGAAACTTTTGAAAAAGTATTTTGCATGTGTCTGGAGTATTTTCACACAGTGTTTCTTCACTAGCAAAAACTACTTTACTTCCCTTAGAAATGTTCAATGAATTTAATGTCATGGTTTAACCCCAGCTGGCAACTGAGCCCCACCCAGCCGATTGCTCACTCCTCCCCGGTGGCATGGAGAGAGAATGGGAAGGGTAAAAGTGAGAAGACTCGTGGGTTGAGATAAAGACAGTTTAATGTGTAAAGCAAGAGCTGCACACACAAGCAAAGCAAAACAAGGAATTCGTTCCCTCCTTCCCAGTGGCAGGTGGGTGTTCAGCCATCCCTGGGAAAGCAGGGCTCCATCACGCGTAATGGTTACTTTGGAAGACAAATGCCATCGCTCCCAAGATCTCCCCCTTCCTCCTCCTTCCCCCAGCTCTATACACTGAGTGTGATGCCATATGGTGTGGGATGTCCCTGGGGTCAGTTGGGTCAGCTGTCCTGGCTGTGTCCCCTCCCAGCTCCTTGTGCCCCCCAGCCGCTCGCTGGAGGGGGGGGGGGGGGGGCAGAAAAGCCCTTGGCTCTGGGAGTAACTAAAACATCCCTGGGTTATCAGCACTGTTTCTAGCACAAATCCAAACCACAGCCCCATGCTAGCTACTGTGAAGAAAATTAACTCTGTCCCAGCCAAACCCACCACAAATGTATCTGTTTCCAGCATGAGAAATGCTTTAATATGCCTCTGTAAAATGTCTTCTGTTGTCACTTGCTTTGTACATGCTTTGTCTACAGAGAGTGTAAAAGGTTGATGTGGATTTCCTTCCTGTCTGTAGGGGGACATTTGATAACCGTGACGTTGCAGTCAAAAGAATTCTTCCCGAGTGCTTCAGCTTTGCAGACCGTGAAGTACAGTTGCTGCGAGAGTCAGATGAGCATCCTAATGTGATCCGCTATTTCTGCACAGAGAAGGACCGGCAGTTTCAGTACATAGCCATTGAGCTGTGTGCTGCCACTTTACAGGAGGTGATGCAAACCTACAGAATTTGTGAAAGTTTTCTCCCCACAAGGCCTTCAGTTTCCTTTAGCTTAAGTTGCTGAAGTGCCTGCCACAGGCGGTGTTCTAGTTACTCCCGCCCTCGCCTCTGTGACAACTACACATTCCTACAACAAGGGTGTTTTCAGACCTATAGAAAGACATCCCTAACCCTGTACTGATTTAAGGACAGAAGCTGTTGTCCTTTGATTTTTTTCCTTCTTATGAAGGACTCCCTTCCGTTCATCCTCCCCCTCCTACCATCCAGACTTTGAAGACCCTCTACTCTTGCTTCTGGAGCACAGTGCTATATAGAGTTCTAGCTCTGAGTGATGTTTGTTGTAGAGATCATCACCCTCAGGAAAAAAAAACCCAAAGGCTCTTTTATGTGTGTTACCAGCTAGCACAATTTACCCAGGCTAACCTTTTTTGGGGGAGAGTGAAGGGGATATACTTACTATTTATGCAGAGGGTAATGATAAGCAATGTTGTGGCTGAATCTTCTCTTTTTCTGTTGTAATTTATAGTATGTTGAGCAGAAGGCCTTCAGTCACCATGGCTTACAACCCATCACTCTCCTGCAACAGACGACATCTGGTCTTGCTTACCTGCACTCCCTTAGCATTGGTAAGAATGCCTCTTGTTTCAGTATTGGAAATATTTTCTTCACTAAAAAAAGAAGAGAAACTGGTCTGGTGCTGGGAGCTTGTTTATTCAGTCCCAGAAGGGAGTTGTAGAAGCTCCACATAGTGCTGGCAGCAATAGTGTCTGTCCTTTGACACCGGCCTTGTCCCTGTGACATTCTGCTGCACTGGAGTAGTAAAGCTAGTCCTTACCATTTGTTCAGGGTGCTGAGTTTTTTGGATAGAAGTCCGATAAAACATGATAACTAGTGGTGATAGAATAAAAAAAAGCAATGAGCCTCTACCAAAGACAATAGTTTGAGGTTGGAACTTTGATTTAACGTGTGGTAGTTCAGCCTTGTGAAAGGTTTACAATGGAAATACATTAAAAATTGACAGCTCTCATTGGGATTGCCTCAGTGGATAAATGAGTGTCTATAACAGTCCACAGGGACCTGAAGCCCCATAACATCCTCATCTCGATGCCTAACGCCCATGGGAAAGTCAAAGCTATGATTTCAGACTTCGGCCTGTGCAAGAAGCTGGCAGTGGGCAGGCACAGCTTTAGCCGTCGGTCGGGTGTGCCCGGCACCGAAGGGTGGATTGCCCCAGAGATGCTGAGTGAAGATTGCAAAGAGAACCCTGTAAGTCTTCCCATCGGGCTTCCCTGGGAGAAGCCGGCACAACCGCCGGGTGGCACGTTGTTGCAGTCAGGCTAAGATACGCAATGCTTGATGCCTGGGCATTCGCAGAATCATAGAATAGTTTGGGTTGGAAGGGACCTTTCAAGGTCACCTAGTCCAACCCCACATTCATGCTGGCTTGCAGCTTGAATATGTGATTCTGAAAAGTTTTCTTCTGCTCTTAGATGCAAAATAACCACCCTGCGATGACAGCTCAGAGTCTTCAGGGGAAAAAGAATGTTATTGCTATTAAAGGTTGTTTATTTGCAGACGTATACCGTGGACATCTTTTCGGCTGGCTGTGTCTTTTATTATGTGGTATCTGAAGGCAGCCATCCCTTTGGCAAATCTCTGCAGCGGCAAGCCAACATTCTGCTGGGTGCATACAGCCTGGAGTCTTTAAACGCAGGGAGGCACGGTAAGAAAAGCACGGTAAACATAAAGCATGACAGAGCTTGGTGAACTTCCTGTGGGTGTTAAAGTACCAACAGAAATGACAGAACTATGACCCATGGTGATTCCCAACCTGGCAGTGGTGAACCGTGTACGTTGTACTCCTAAGGTACTCCTGAAGTAAAGCTCTTAAAGTTCTTAGAATTAGTACCCCAAAGCATCTCTGGAATACAAAATTCGGCACCCTGCAAGCTTGACTGTAGAGTTATTTCCTGTATTTAAAGGGTAGGAAAGAGCTGAACTTTGATCCTCATAATCACACTGATCCGGTACTTCTGACTGTTGGCTGCCAGCGTACCTGTGAGGGCAGTACTTGGGGCGAAGTGCAGGCTTGTGCTGGAGGAAGTAGAGAAGGTAGTGATTTTCTTAAGTATGAAACATCAGATTTCCCTGCAGCCTAAGAATTATCACCCTTTTCCTTGCAGAAGACATAGTTGCTCGTGATTTAATAGAGCAAATGATAAACATGGACCCTCAGAAACGTCCGTCTGCCAGCTGTGTGCTAAAACACCCATTTTTTTGGAGTTTAGAAAAACAGCTCCAGTTTTTTCAGGTTTGTGTTGACCTTTTCTATTCTTTCAGTTCTAAGGATTCCAGTAGACATTCTTCAAATCTTGAATTCAGGCTCTCCTAGCTTTGTGGATGTTTGAGGTGAATCCACACCCTTACTGTGAGGAACACAGCAGCAAAGTTGTAATAAATACCTAGGTGATATCTCTTAAGAAATTGGCTTAGTCTTCTATAAGATCTTTTCTAGCAAGGCTAGAACGTGATGTTATCACCTTAAATTGGAGTGAGGAAGGTCTCTAGCAGCTACAGTAGCAACGCAGGAGAACGTGTTGCCAGGCAGGTTGTCAAGAACACTTAATCCTGATGTGAGGTGGGAACTGGCTGAGGACCTGAGGTCCTTTCCAGCTGCATCTTCTTCTACTCTGTGATTAAAAGGCTTTGGCAGATGGTGAAACAACTCATCATCTGATAAACGTCTGTGTCCCAGGCCCAAGCGCAATGCACTGTATTGTATGTAGTCATGGAATAGGGTAGAATGGTACCTCCCTTAGCAGGACAGGCTGTAACTGGCCAGAAGCAGCAATTTTAAATTGTTGGGAAAAGCTTGGAAATAAAACTAGAAGTAACCTGAATGTCTCTTCCAGGATGTTAGTGACCGGATAGAGAAAGAATCTTTAGATGGTCCAATAGTCAAGCAGCTAGAAAGAGGCGGAAGAGAGGTGGTGAAAATGGACTGGAGAGAGCACATCACTGTTCCTCTTCAGACAGGTAACGGGTAGTGTTTTATCCGAGGGGAAAGTAGTTAAATGCCATTGCTCCCAGTTTGCTGGGACAGGGAAGTAAGGATAACACTGTCTCAGTTTTGGCACGTGACCTTTACTGGTCAGCAAAGTATTCCTTCAAAGTAAAGTACATGTTTATATATTGGAACACACCTCCTAAGGGTATGTGACTGTAGGCACACCCACACCTTACTTTGAGGCCAGCAACTAAAACTGCATCGAAATACAAACAGAAATCTTGTGATTTCTTTTGCAGATCTTCGAAAATTCAGATCCTATAAAGGAGGCTCAGTACGGGATCTTCTGAGAGCAATGAGAAATAAGGTAAAGGACTTTTTCCGTAAGCCACGCACGCTGCGGTTCTGCCTCCGTGTGCTGTTTGCTGCCAGTCCATGTCTGTCTGTCTGACCTTGGTGTAGGCATTGAGCTCCTTTACGATAGACTAATGTGAGGTTACTTTGTCCATGAAAAAAAGAGGATCCTTGAACACGTACTCTCTGACTGAGCTTTGCCCTGTTCTTTTTTCCTTCACAGAAGCACCATTACAGAGAACTGCCTCCCGAAGTGCAGGAGACCCTGGGCTCCATCCCGGATGATTTTGTGTGTTACTTTACAGCTCGTTTCCCTCACCTGCTCCTGCATACCTACAATGCTATGCACATCTGCTGCCAAGAAAGACTGTTTCAGCATTACTATAATCAGGACTCTGCGGAGCTGAGCCTTGCAGGAGACACGGTTTGAGAGGAGAGGGGTGGAGCTTTCTTCTCTGGGACCAACATTCCAAGCACAGGGCTGTGAAACAGGCCTACCTTTAGCAGGGAAAAGTGGGATCAAAGAGCTGAATTCTCTCTCTTTGAAGAAACCAAGCTTCCAAAAAGTGCCTTGTACCGCTGCCTGCGCTGGATGAGGAGATGGTGGGAGCCCAAGGAGCAAGGGGGAACTTCAGAAAAGCAATGAACCCTGGAGTTATTCCAAGGCAGTTTTCAAGACAGTGAAACTGGAGAGCAAAAGCTGGCCATAACCGTCACCCAATATGCCTGTACTGTACGTGATTTTATAACTGATGTGTTTTACTACAAAGAATCAAAATGCAGTGATTGAAATCGTATAATTACTAGGGCCTGGGATCTGCAAAAGGAGCCTTTTAGTTGTAGCAAATCATCAGAACCTGCCATTGCACTACTGCCACGTTACGCGTTAGGCACGTCACAGGGACTGTCAAGGGAATCCTTTATGATTATCCAACAAACAATTTCTGTCTAATCGGTACTGCCCTGGAAAATTATTCCCTCATACCTGAGCAGATACAATGAAGTTCTAAGGAAAACTGACTTGAAAAAATCAGTTTGAGGTTTATCTACTTTGAAAATAAGCCTCGTTGTTTAAGTATCAACCAGTATTGACAGAAGAGCTTGAACGGCCTGGAACCACAGCATCAGAAGAGCTCTACACAAGTCACTTCAGAGAAAGCCACTGCTGGCAGCTGGGAGCTGCTGGGCAGAGGCTCATCCGCCTACTGCAAGTGTTCCTTACCTTCTTACGCAGAAGGGTCGCCAGTTGCAGCGCCAGAGGTAAGCGGAGTCCTGGGAAAAAGGAGCTGAATAGGAAACGAGGAGAGCTGTACGGAACGGTGAAGTGAGAGGCGGAGTTTGTAATGGGGGGCTACAGCTGTACGAGAACCCCCTTTCCTGTTTGTAGGGGTTGCTGATCAATTCCATCCACGTGAGCCTGTTCTTAAAGATGCAGTATTTCTTTTCATTGGCCCTAAAGCTGTGACAAAGCATTAAGTGTGTGCGAAGGATGAAGAAATGCTGAATTACGATACAAGTGGAGTGTTCTTTTACAATATATTTATTAAACATATTTATATTTATTTAATTTTTACTACAAAGTGGTATCAAGTCCAAGTGGTACAAGTATAAAGCATGCCAAATCATTCTTAATTGGTTTTGTGTTTATATTTGATCGTATAACAACTGGAAGAGGAAAGCGATACTGCATCTTTCAATGGAATTCATTAAAGGAGAGATTACAAAGTGGGAATTTGGATGCCATTGTGTCTTAAACTAATAAATTATTGACGGCAATGTGTATGATTGGGTATGTACAGCTACTTTTCTGGAGCTACTTTATGGGAAGTTTTTTTCCCTGGTTTTACAATGTATGAGAGCAATTTACCTAAGATGCCAACTGTGCAAGTTACGTGTTTCTAAAGCTTGAAAAAAAAAATAATGGTTTTACCTAAGAAGATTCAAATCCTATTCATATTTTTGTACTTCTCATGTAAAGTTCTTTTATAGGTCTGCTAAATAAAGACTTGTACTCAGATTAAAAAACCCACAACTTTCAGTGACAAAGCGTGCCTGGGGAAGGCAGCGGGAGTGCTGCCGCGTGTGGACTGACAGGTTTCAGAACCAGGGCTGGAGAGGGTGAGCGGGGGCTGAGGGCAACGCGGCCGCATCCTGCCCCAGGGAGGGGCGCGGGCCTGGGCTGGAGGCTTTGTGCCAGGCAAGGGCAGGGCTCTGGTTCAGGGGGGAAACCCCCCAGGCAGACACAGAGAGAGGGGGGGGTGGAGCCACGGATGGATGGAGACAGAGGGGGACACACGGACACATGGACGGAGGACAGACAGACAGACACACACGGGTGGATGGACACACAGCTGGAAGGAGACATGGAGACTGACAGACCAACTGATAGATGGGCAGGCAGACAGACCGGCAGGTGGGTGGACAGAAGGACAGACAGGCAGATGGATGTGTGGACAGACAGACCAACGGACAGATAGGTGGGTGGATGGGAGGTGGGCGGAAGGATAGACAGACGGACCAAGGGAGAGACAGACAGACAGATGGGCTGGTGGACAGATGGATGGACAGACCGACCAACAGATGGGAAGATGGATGGACGCGGGCGGATGGACAGATGGATGGACGGACAAGCATACAGATGGACAGACCGGCGGACGGGCAGGTGGGTGGACAGAAGGACGGATGGGTGGACGGATGGACAGCCAAATGGATGGACAGCTGGGCAGACAGGTGGGTGGACAGATGGATGGACGGACGGACAGACAGACGTACAGGCTGATGGATGGACGATGGACAGGCAGGTGGGTGGACAGAAGGACAGAGAGTTGGACGGACAGACAGCCAGATGGATGGAGAGCTGGGTGGACAGATGGACAGACTGACGGATGGACAGGTAGGTGGGCAGATGGGTGGACGGAACGACAGACGGACAAACAGACGGACGGACACACCGGCAGATGGACGAATGGATGGACAGACGGACCAGTGGGCAGACCAACAGACAGGCATAAGGACCAATGGGTGGAACAACAGACAGGCGTATGGACCAATGGACGTACAGATGGATGGACTGACAGACAGATGGCTGGACTGATGGATGGACTGACAAGCGTACAGATGGACAGACAGACCAAAGGACGGACAGATGGACCAGCAGTTGGGTGGACAGAAGGACAGACAGGCAGACAGATCAACAGATGGACAGACAGATGGATGGGCGTATGGACCAACGGACGGACAGGTGGGCAGGCAGACGGATGGATGGGCAGACAGGTGGGTGGACAGAAGGACAGACAAATGGGTGGGCAGATGGATGGACAGCTGGACAGACCAACGGGCAGATGGATGAACAGACAGATGGGTGGACAGACCGAACGACAGGTGGGCAGATGGATGGATGGACAGACTGACAGACAAGTGGACAGGCAGATGGACAGACAGGCGGACCAATGGATGGACAGATAGACCAACAGATGGGCAGGTGGGTGGACAGACGGACCAGCAGACGGATGGGAGGAGGTGGGTGGATGGACCAACAGGCAGGTGGGCAGATGGATGGGAAGTGGTCAGACAGATGGACGGGTGGACGGACAGATGGACAGAGGGACAGACAGACTGATGGACAGACTGGCATACAGATGGACCAATAGACAGACAGACCAACTGACATGGGCAGGTGGACAGAGGGACTGGCAGACGGATGGATGGACAGATTGACCAATGGATGGACAGGCACACAGACAGCCGGACAGACCGATGGATGGGCAGGTGGGTGGACAGATGGACAGGCAGGCAGGTGGACGGACAGGTGGATGGAAAGATGGCTGTAGAGACAGACAGATGGACGGATGGACAGACAGACGGATGGAGAGCTGGGTGGACAGACTGACGGATGGACAGGTAGGTGGGCAGATGGATGGACAGAACGACAGACACACCGGCAGATGGACGAATGGATGGACAGACAGACCAGTGGACAGATGGCTGGATGGGCAGACTGACCAACGGACAGAAATGGTGGACAGACCGGCAGACCAACAGACACATACACCAATGGATGGGGAGACAGGGAGATGGAGAGACACGGAGAGGGAGACACACAGGGATGGGGAGGGACACACAGCGACAGAGGGGGAGACACAGACACACACCTGGATGGAGACATGGAGATGGACAGACACACAGAGACAGGGCGACACAGACAGATGGACAGAGGGAGGGGGACACAGAGACACACATGGGAATGGACACAGAGCTGGAGACAGATGGGCAGATGGAGACAGG